TTATGGGCATATTGCATCACAGAATGAAATGCTAATAATAGTACCAGTCAAATTAACTAGTCTCTCTTCTGGTATGATTTTACTCACCATAATATTATATGCAAGATGGTTGTGCAGGCCTTTGAAAGTATTCCAGTTGCATTTTTTTTATTTAGCCAGGTAACTTTTGCTACCATTTCCAGAAGTCAGTTAGACTTTGCTATAGTGGCAAATCTTCCATTGCCTGTGTGGGTGACAGACAATCCACCTGGCACACACAATCGTTGTCCTCCTCCTCCTCCTCCATTTTGCTGTTGTTCTTCAGTTTCTGTTGCCTAAGGTAGCTCTGTTACTCTGTCTAATTAAAGAGGGCAGCTCTGCATTAATTGTATTTGACCAAAGCAGTTGTAATAAGAGTAACAGCCCATCAGGCATAAGTTCTTTCATAAGAAATGGCATAGTTAGACAACAAGATTTTACTCTCCAAATGCTTTAAAATCAAGTCACAGAACCATGAGAGTTGCTGGAACTTGACATTATACTGCTTTAAATATAGCTTACTGATATATTAGATTCATTTAACTGTATTTTTTAGCATTTATGATTGCTTTTCATCTTCCTACCATTCAAATGTTTGAAAATACACATGGCAAAGAGGTAGAAAAAGGATGCTTTTGTTAAGACAAAAATAAATACAGACTAATTAAATAAATAGTCTAGTCCAAGCTTATAGATATCCATTTGCCCAATAGTTTATCTAATCATCCTCCATGAGGCTTAAGTAATATAAGTATCCAAGCTCAGAGAATTCTTACTGTGAACCATTACTGTTATAGGATTGATTATAGTATTGCCCCCCTCATTGTTTTACAAAATAAAAGTTGCATATGTCCTAGCAGGTGCACAAGTGGACACAGAGGGAAAAAGAAATGAAGGAGAGAGAGAGAAGTCTTGTCAGCTATCATAATGCCCTGAAATCACAAAGAACAATCTGGAGCTTCGTTTCACTCTCTTTCTAATTCATCCACACCTTCTATTGTGCTATTTTGGCTCTTAAGTTACATTATTTTTTTGTAGCTGCTCCAGATTGCATATTTGTTTTGGCACCAGAAGCAGGAAATAGGTAAAATAACATGGGTTTACCAATTTGGAGTAATTCTATTATTTATCTTTCTTCCAAGAAGATTTTCTCTCTTACATTCATTTCACACCCATCCACACACCATTAATTTAGTGTATAGGTTATGACTGGAAATATGATATGTCATAAATACATATTTTATATGCGCAGTAACTGCATTACTATGGATATTTGCATAGTGTGACCAAGTTATTAGGGCTGATTGTGACCATCTTTTAAAACAACTGAGGGGGCTGAGATTCACTAGACTGGCCCTGCATTTGTGAGTGCATTATTTACATATGCACTACTATAGTATAGGCAGAATATGAAAAGCATCATGCTTAAAAAACAAGGAACCAAATGTTTACCTTATAGCATGTTTAGACATATAAACTTATTGTTCTGTCTTAACAAGTTTCATGGGGGGAAGTATATTCTCTAGTTACTGTAACTAGAGAGTTCAGTATTATGTATCAGTCACTTCATTAACGTCACTGCTTGATATAAAGGTAGTCAATAAAAATTAAAAACAAGGAAGTTGGATGCTGCATACATAATTGGAGGAAAAATGTGATTGCTTTTCAATTAAAATGAAATAATCTGATTTTTTTGTTGCATAAAAGAGATATTTATGTCTCTAAAGTCAGTATTTTAAAAACAAAGGAATACAATTAATTGACTAATCACTATGTCCTATCAAGCTGGTGTTGACTCTTAGCAACTACATAGATTTTCTACAGGACAATCTGTCCCCCAGCAGGCCCCTCAGAACTTCCAATGCTGTATCCATTGCTGCTGTAACTGAGTCAATCCATCTTGCTGCTAGTTGTCCCTTTTTCTCTTTCGTTCCACTTTTCCTAGAGAGCTGTATTGTATATGTACATACTACGATAATTTGAACCTGCTAATTTGTGCCTCAAGTGAAAACTCTGGATTTTTTGTTCTGTGATCCATGTATTTGTTTTCTTGGCTATCCCTGGTATTCTCAGGAGTCTCCTCCAACCCAAGTTCAAAAGCATCAATACTCTTTCTAGCCTATTTCTTCAATGTCCAGCTTTCACTTTCTTAGTGTCACCAAAAAACCATTGCCTGCTAGATTCTGATCTCTGCAGGTATAGACACATCCCGTCATCTGAATATCTTTTCCAAGGGCTTGGAAAGTGCTTTCCAAGTACTAGTCTGTACAGTAACATATTTCTTGACTGCTCATTCCTTTAATGATGGTAGTTGATCCTAAAAGGCACAGTCACCAATTCAACATCTTCACTCTTAGTTCTAAGTCTGCTTGCTGTACCTGTTGTCATTAGTTTGGTCTTCTTTATACTTAATCTCATTTTTCACTGTGTTCCTTGACTTCTATTACTGCAGATCATTTCACTTTTCACTATTAATGTCATCAACATAGTACAGATTAATTATTCTTCCTCCAATTTTAAAACCACCCTCATCTTCTAATCCATATTCCTTCAATATATATTCAGATTTAGGTTGAATAAATAAGGGGAGAGCATACAGCCTTATCTCACCCCTTTACTGGCTTGCAAAGGAGTGAGCCAGTCTGTTTTACCATGTTCCATCCAGACTGTGGCTTCCTGACCTGTGGATATGCTTCACAATGAGGATAATGAGATGTTCTGGCATTCCCATTTTCCTAAGCACATCCCACAGCTTGATATGGTTGACACAAACAAAGGCCTTTCTAAAATCAATGTAACACATATTGACTTCTTTTTAGTAGTCTTTGGCTTTCTCAATTATTCAGTCTGCATCAGCAATAATATCTCTTGTTCTTCAACATTTTCTGAAGCCAGCTAAAGAAGTATAAACTTCTTAGAAAGTTCTCATGTTTATTGTCTTCTACTGGAACACATTGTTTCTCATTCATATATGATCAAAATATTATTGTACATTAAAGTAGGAAATAAATTCTCAACATAACAAGAGAAATCATATGCAGTAGACTGGATGCTGACTCGGTCACACTTGATTTGTGAGTCTACTGTAGTTATGACTAAAACTTGCAACCCCTATGTTGGGATTTAGTTCCCACTAAAGAATTATGATTCATCCTAATTATGTTGTAAGCCACTTCCATAAAACCATTGCCCTCAATCCTGTACAGCAGTTTTCACCATTGTGAGCCTCCCTTGCTACTGCTTCCTGCGGGTGGGGAAAATAGATCATTCTGCTGACTAAAAGGGGAGTGCAAAAATTGGTGTTCCAGCCAATGTCCCCTCCTGCCTTGTCATTTCTTCATCATTAGTGTTTTCTCAGGAGAAAAAAAGTCATGCTCTTCAAGCATTCCAGAACAGAGAAGCAGTTATAAAACTCAAGAGAAGGGGCAAGTCCCAGGATCTGAGGGAAATTGCCCACCCCATTGTCAAGAGGAAACATCTTCATGCTTAATCGCTTCAGCTTGCAAAGAACCCACACCATCATGGGGAAATTAAAACCTTGTGTTTGGAAGGGGCCATAGGCCCTCCAGTTTTTATTTATTGGCATTTTGTGGTCTTGTGAATTCATCAGCATTATCTTTCTGTACATCGAAGATTACTTCAGTCTTTGAGGTGATTTTTCATATGACTTGGGAGTTGTTAAGGAAGTACAAGGAAATCAGTGGTAGCGATATTACCAACTAAGAGTGTCCAAAGAAATGGTGAGAAGTAGCATCTTCTCATATCAGTAGAGCTGGGCGCAGTAAGCATAATTTTTCTTAAGGCCAACATGACTGCCTTTGCTTTTTATGTAACAAAAGTACAGAAGCTCAGAAGTAACGCAGTTTCTTCCCATGAGGCTTACATTTTTCTATGCAAGGGTGGATATAGATTATCAGTTTTAACACCTGTAGGTAGCACTGCTGTGCAGGATTATTTTATATAGCTTAGAACACACCTTTCCTTTCCTAATGCTAATCTTTTTTTGACCAAACAGGTTTTGTAGGTTACCAAAACAGTATTAAAAAATTTGTAACCACAGACCATAACTGAATAAATGAGTCAATAAACCCTTTTAACATGCCACCCACAACTAAAAAAAAAAAGTATATCTTGTACTTTCAGCATCACATGTACAGAACAGGGCAGTTAAAGACGAACGCATGCTAGGACAGGTTAGGGGACAAGAAGGAAGTAATTTGAGCCACTTGATGAAGGCAGAGGTGCTTTAAGGTCAAGGTCTGAACAGAAAAGTTTTATGAAGGCTTCAGAAACTTTGTACCCCATCTCCTTTGTCCTTACCTATAAATAAAGAAAATCAATAGACCTTTCCCGCCTCACAACCTAGTGGAGAAGGACTGGGCACCTTGCGCAATTACACGAAGAAAACAAAAAACAAAAGCTCTCAAGCAAGAAGGCTCCCGAGTGAAAAAGGGCGATCGGGAAGGATAATGACGTCACGGCGTAAGACTTCGCCGTCGTTCCCGCCGGGGATAGTCGCGCCCGCAGCCCATTCCGGGACGAGGTTTCCTCTTTAGAGGCGTGTACTCGCGTGACACCAAGGGAGGAGGACGTGCCGAGTGTGGGCGAGGAGGGCGGGTCCCTGCACGCGCAGCTCTTCCCCCCTCCGTTAGCTTCCGGCGCCTCTACCGCCATGA